AAAAAAAAACTAAAAAAAAAAAAAGGCAGGAGATCTGAGTTTGGGTACTGGCACCAATCTATTAGCTTTGTAAACTGGATCAAGTAACCTAACCTCTTTCTATTTATCAGCCTCTTTGACTTTGAAATAGGTATAATGTCTGTTTTTCCTTGTTTACATGATTTTTAGGAAGAGCAAATTGACTGATAATTTACATAATTTAAAGCAGCATAATTAAGATTTTTAGCCACAATAATGATCATTATGTAAATGTCACCATTATTTATTAAATTTTTTACCTAAAATGGTACTAATTTGGTCACTTCAAAATAGGTTCCTTTGTAAAACAGATGGTTAAAGTAACTGAAGACTTATTGAATTTAACTTTTGCTCATGTTTTTTTTTTTTTTTTTTTAAGCCCATTTCTTGGAGGAAGTGATAGTTTTCAATTGTTTACTTTCTTCTAAGAAGTATTTTTGTGGGGCGCCTGGGTGGCTCAGTCGGTTGAGTGTCCAAGTCTTTATTTTGGCTCAGGTCATGATTCCAGGGTTGTGGGATCAAGTTCTGTGTTGGGTTCTGTGCTGAGTGTGGAACCTGCGTAAGATTCTCGCTCTCTCCCTCTGCCTTTGTCCCCTGTTGTCCTCTCTCTCTCAAAAAAAAAAAAAAAAAAAAAGTATTTCTGTAGTGGAGAAAATAATTATAAAAATTATGGTCTTTAAAAATAAGATCTAAAAATATGTTTCAAAATAAAACTTGCTTACAGTGTCACTATTGCCAACATTCATGAAGTTTGTTGGTTAATTTGTTTAAAGTGTCACCCATTCATTGAGCACTTGCTAGGTTCTGGGGAACCACAGGTGAATAAAAGGGTTCCCAAATGTATGGAGAAAATATTTTAAATTGTGTTATAACTGTAAGTGGTCCACGGGAATACAGAGAAGGGAGGGAGTAATTTGGGAAGGGTAAGAATGAAAGAGAAAAAGATGACCTTTGCATTTTTTCAACTTTTAAGTAGACTTGCTAGTGATCTTTTTAAAGTTTAGACTTTCCGTTATGAAATGTTTTTACCACATAGAAAACTTTCAAAATAGACCCCTGTATATCCAGCTACTGAGACGTAACAGATACTAATATTTTGCCACATTTGCTTGAGATACTTACAAAAAAATTTTTTTTAAATATTTGTTTATTTTTGATAGAAACAGAGTGTGAGCAGGCGAGGGGCAGAGAGAAGGGGAGGCACAGAATCCAGAGCAGGCCCCAGGCTCTGAGCTGTCAGCAAAGAGCCCAACACAGGGCTCGAACCCACAAGCCATGAGAACATGACCTGAGCCGAAGTCGGACCTTTAACCAACTGAGCCACCCAGGTGCCCCAATGCCAGAGATATTTTTAAAGGGAATGTTATAACTAAAGCCTTATCATTCCAACTTTTCTCCTCCCTGTGTCCCTAGAGGTAACCACTAGCCTGAAGTTGTTAAATAAATATATATATATACACATATATATCTTTTTCATGCATATGTTATACATTTATTAATGTGACCATGCCCATAAAAAGTGTATTGTGTGTCTTAAAGTTACATCAATAATATATTCTTTTTTTTTTAATTAAAAAAAAATTTTTTTTTCAACGTTTTTATTTATTTTTGGGACAGAGAGAGACAGAGCATGAACGGGGGAGGGGCAGAGAGAGAGGGAGACACAGAATCGGAAACAGGCTCCAGGCTCCGAGCCACCAGCCCAGAGCCCGACGCGGGGCTCGAACTCACGGACGCAAGATCATGACCTGGCTGAAGTCGGACGCTTAACCGACTGCGCCACCCAGGCGCCCCAATAATATATTCTTTAAATTGTATACCTGTTCTTTAGAAATTTGCTTTTCTTATTCACTATTGGTTTTGAAACTTCTCTATTTTGATATATGTTAATTCATTTTAAGTGCTGTCAAGTATTACATTGTTTGGATAATGAGGTTGTTTCTAGTTTTTTCTATTAAAAAATGCAATTAGAAGTACAAATAATATTTCCATAAGCACTGAACATCTCCCTGATACCCCGTGTTCTCATTAGCACTTGGTGGACTTTATCATTTTTGCCAATATGATGAGAGTGAAATGAGATCCTTTAAGTTTAGGGTATTTTAATTAAATATTAAAGAATAAGGAAGAATTTATATGTCAAGGATAGAGAACAGTACTAATGAGACAGTGGAGAAGTTAATCTTTGCCAGCCAAAAGAACTGAGATATTTCTGACTGTAATCTACAGTTGGAAAAATTTTACATATGACTCACTAAGTACATACACTCGTATTTGAAATAAAAGGTAATATGAAACAACTGAGCAGTTGCATGTAGTAGAGTTTATTCTTAATACCAGTGCTGCTTGTGATCAATAAATTGATGTGACAGCCATTTTAAGGGCAGTTTGAAAATCATTGTTCAAGAGTGAGTATATAGAAGGGGAACAGGTAGGCTGGACCTTATCAGGGTATTAAATGTCATGTGCAGGAGTTTGCTTTATGTCCTAGTCATTTTCAGTGGTTTTTTAGCAATAGAAAACAACTGTCAGTCCTGTTCTCTTTCCCCACAAGAGGAGTGGAGAGTCAGTTTTTCTGAGATGTTAGCATTCTGGGCCTAGTATGAAAGCAGGCTTCTGGTAGTGGTGGTTAGGTTGGAGGACTGGGAAATAAAGACTTTTAAAGGAAGCAGTTAGAAATTCTGGAGGCAGGCTATTACGTGACACCAGATAAGAGCTGATGTTGCCCAGGACTCAAGCAGTGGCAGCATGACTGTGGACAGATTGTTGTTCTTCACCACTGACTGTGGAGATTGAGTGTGAGGGAAGAATTAAAGGTGACGCCTGCGTTTATTCTGTTGCTTATATAAATGTAAGTATTATTAACTGGTATACGGGACTGAGAAGAGCAAATTTGAAGGAGGAATATGTAATCAGATTTAGATGGTTGTGGGGAAAGGTACCTGATCTACCAATGGGGGAGTATAAATGCTCACGTTGAAAATTTGAGCCGAAAGCTTAAAGGAAAGATGTGAGCTAACAGTGTATATTTCATAGTTGCCAGTGTATACTTGGGCCATCAAGTCCTGCAGCAGGGAGGTAACTCCAAGAACACGAAGTGGGAGCAGGTAAGAAAGTCAGAGATGGAACCTTGAGCAATCCCAATGTATGAGGGAATGGGTAAACAGGATAAAAAGAGGAAGGCAGAAGTAGGAAGAGAATTATGGGGAAAGTAAAGGTGAGTGCCTGGGAGGAAGGCTAAGTGAAACTGAAATGATCTAAGATAAATGCCAAATATAGCTGGAGAAATATTTAGGGTTCACTGTACCAGGCCTGATCATGCTAAGTGGAATAGTTTACTTTCTAGCTGTTGACTAGGTGTTTTTCATCAGTGTAAGGCAGTTTTGAGTTAACAGTGTACCATTTAGTTAAGTGGGTACTCTTTTTAAGAGTGCTTCAATTCTGCCTAGTGAGTTTACATACCAAACAAACAGGTCATTGTCTCAAAAAGTTTGTGTATTTCTTATGTGTTAAATTTGAAAAGACTATTTCCTTCCCTTACTGAGCTTTCCTGTGACTTATTACAGAGAGTAGAAAGTAGTAACATTCAGCTGACTAGTAAAATAAGTTAAAAATTTGTTTCGTAATAAACTCAGTTTAGGTCAAGTAAAAATATCTATGATACTTTAATAAAAGCAGTTGGATCACTTAGGAAATAACCTATCACATCTAACTTTAATGTGGACAAATTTTTGTTGGTTTAGAATCCATTTTTCCGTTCATGCTTTGTTGTATTTTAACTTTCAGGCTACTTGGGCAGAAGTGATGTTCGCTTTTGGAAATTTTGTAGGAGAAACTCTTTTTGCTTGTTATTTTTTTAATGCTTATTATTTAATGTTTATTTTTGAGAGAGATAGAGTGTGAGTGGGGCAGGGGCAGAGAGAGGGGGAGACACAGAATCTGAAGCAGGCTCCAGGCCATGAGCTGTTGGCACAGACCCTGACGTGGGACTTGAACCCACTAACCACGAGATCATGACCTGAGCTGACATCGGATGCTTAACTGACTGAGACACTCAGACGCCCCGCAATATGCTTTTTAATTCTGGCATTCACTCTACTGGACAAATTTCCTACTTGATTAAATGGGTGTTCATTGAAGATATTTCTAAACTTCTCTCTCAACATTTTATTTACTTTTATTTTATTTAGAAGACATATACTTTAAAAGGAGAATATTAATGGTATGGTAGTAACATTATAAAATGTCACTCCAATGGACTAGGAAAGATAATTCTTGAATGACATATGTCTTTATATCTAAATGTTATCCAATTTCAGTGAGCTAACCAGTGCTTTGTTTGGATTGTGTGGGGTAAATTCCAAATAGAGTTTATAAATCTGAACAGAAGAGAGCTGCAAATCCAAGTGGAGTAAAGGTCATCTAACTGCCTTCTAAAATATTAGAAGATTAGTTTATCTTTGGTCTTCGAGTAAGCCGTATGCAATGTGTTAAAAATCCATTTAAAAAATTAGTTGTAAAGTAAGCAAAAAAAAATTTTTAATGCTTATTTATTTTTGAGAGAGAGAGAGCACGAGTGGGTTGGGGCAGAGAGAGAGGGAGACACAGAATCCTAAGCAGGCTCCAGGCTCCGAGCTGTCAGCACAGAGCCCAATACGGGGCTTGAACTCACAAACTGTGAGATCATGACCTGTGTTGAAGTCGGACGCTCAACCGACTGAACCACTCAGGTGCCCCAAATAGGCAAATTTTGAGCTCTTGTTAACTACGTGATTCAGGAAACTTAATGCTGTATTTGGTATTGAAACCAAATTATAATTTTCTGAAGTCAGGCTTTCTAGTTCAGTTTAAACTTGTAGTCCTACAAATATACCTTCAAAAAAAAAATCTTTCGGTTTTTACATAGGGTTTTTTAAAGAGAGATGTTATACTGTGTACTATATGACATGTAATAAGACAGAATTTGTTTTATTTTGATATAGCTTGCATTGAAAGGCTCTAGCTACAGTGGACTGCTTGAACGGCATCATATTCACACCAAAAATGTAGAGCATATTCTAGATAGTTTACGGTGAGTCATTGGGATTGGATCTTGGATGGGCTTTTGTATTCAGGACTTTTAATTTTTATTTTTACTAGAAGATGATCCTGCGATTTTTAGTAAAGATTTCCGTTATAAAATAATTTTCAGAAAATTATATCATGGTTAATGGAGTTGACATTGTAGTGTTTCTAAGGAAATTTTTGTACTCTGAAAATTTCACAGATTTTCAGTTAATATTTGGTCTGAGAAGTGCTTTTTCCACAGAGACAATTCTGTATACATTATGCTTGAACCGTATATGTAATGTTTTTTTAAACAATACTAGATTATATGGGTGTTCATTAAAATATTATTTGAATGTCTGAATATCATAGAAACTTCAGTTAATTCAACTAATGCAGTCAGTGAATAAGTTTATGTAAGAGAATCAGTGTGAGAACATGCAAAGTAGAAAGTATCTTAGTTACTGTTTCAGCGTCTGACAACTGAATGAATATTTTGGATTTAAAGTAATGACTATTTTGTTTTATAATTAAAAGTCTCTCAAGATGTGACTCTTCTAGGACATTTTTGTATTAATGACTTTTAGCATCAGGAATAGAGAAAATGAATTGAAATTCTCATTTATCAATATTGCTATTTGTCAGGGACTGTAACAAGATCTTTTTAAAGCATGTAAAGATTTGGGATCATTATTAACTTTCAGTTTACTCTTGTGCATCTTGACTTACCATAGTTAATTGGCTGTTGTAATTAAAATGAAGCTAAGCTTGCAAAACTAAACATAAATTTGTTTATAAAACAAGTTTATTTTACATCATTGTAATAATTTGCCTCTCAGAAAACATCCTTTAAATTATTAGTGGAAATTTTATGTAACGTTTACTTTCTTATCTTAGGAATGAGGGAATTGAGGTTCGCCTAGTAAAGAGGAGAGAATATGATGAAGAAATTGTTCGATGGGCAGATGCTGTCATAGCTGCAGGAGGTAATAGTTTTACAGAGGGAAAGATTGGAATACAGAAATACTCTTTAATATACATTTCCAGATACCCTGTAGTCTAGCTGTATTGAAGGCTTCAGAATCCTACCACAAGATGCATTTTTAGATTTTTAGGATAAGATTTAAAAAGATCTGCTATATGTAACATTTTGCTTTTTTAGTGAATGATGTTATTGTGAGGTTCCATGTATATTAAAGGTATGTTTAACTTCAAATATGATTCAAAGAATGAGTTGTAACTGTATTTTGGTTTAGTTATACTAGTCTTTAAAAAAAGTTGAAATTATTTAAGAGTTTAACAGGATTAGATAAATTTCATCCCACTCTGACTCTCATATACTTATACCTATTTTTTCCTGAGCTTTATTATTAAGTTAGTGAACATTCTTTCTAAAGCTTTAAATTGATAGCATTTGTTCGAAAAATCTACACCGGACACTTTGTTAGATATATTCTCATTAAAATATTTTATGAGTTTGGATTGATGTTATGACAGAAAGAAAAAGAATTGGCTAATAGAAGTGATAGGATTAGAGCAGTAGTTCCCAATTGGAGGCTACTACTGGGCATCTAGCATGTGGAGGCCATGGATACTGCTGAACATCCTGTTTTGCACAGGACAGCCCCCCACAACAAAGAATTATCTGGCCTAAAATGTCAGTCTTGCCACTGTTGAGAAATCCTGGGTTAGGGCTGGTGGGTAGAAAGGCAGTGGAGAGGCCTCTGGTGGTCAACAGGATGGGGTGGGAGTGAGATTGTTAAAATAAAAGTACTTGTGTTCAGAATGATGTTAAAAACTAGTTTTGTAACAAATCTGGTTATGTAGGTGATGGCACGATGCTTCTGGCGGCAAGTAAAGTCTTGGACAGACTTAAACCAGTTATTGGAGTAAACACGGATCCAGAACGGTAAGGAAAAACACATTCTCTTTATTTGCTGTGTGTGTGTGTGTGTGTGTGTGTGTGTGTGTGTGTGTGTGTGTGTTGTACATACAGTTATGCTTTGCTCTGCTTAGTATCTATTTCTGATAAATCTTAAATTTTGGAAGGTCTTTATTTCCTCTACTGTAGTCACATTGCTGTGCTCTGTTGCTGCAGAGAGTTTACTGTGGTGCATGATGTTTAAGTGAAAGCATCATTGTTCCTGGTTATCATGAATATTAGAACCATGTTCCAAAAACATTTTAGAGATGAAATTCAGGCACGTAGAATTCATTTCTACTTTTAGTATAATTTTTCTTCTTTAGTACAAGTTGTTTCCAAGGATCTAGCTCTTGCTTATAGCTCAGGCATGAGAAATATATATGCATTTAGCTGCCATTGGTGGTAGAAAATTATGATATGGGATGGACAGGTCCTCACATTTGACTTCCCAGGTAGTCAGGGAGTAGGATCTGTGGCAGGATAGACCTGAGCCCTTGACCTAGGTGAGTATTGGTGTCCTTCAGTATTGCTGAAGAGGGATGAGTTAATGTCCCATCTTCTACCTTTCTTATGTCTCTCATCTCCATTCCTGGTTATATCTCCACTGATTTTCTGGGTGACTTCATCAATTTAATGAAAAGACCAAACCCTGTCATCACTTCTTTTTTTCTTTCCTCAGCTTCACTGACATTTAGCATCATTCTATTCCAGCCGCCCACAGTATGACCATACCTGGACTTGATGATCATCTAGAATTGCCCCATCTCGCAAATCTTAATTCCACTCTGACCGCAGTCTCCTATCTTTAATAGCAGTCTTATTCCTTCAATTCTGCTAAGTCTGCCCTTTGGTTTTCAGTGCATTGAACCCCTCTATTTTCTTCAATTAATTTTCCCTCACTTCATTCATTTGCTTGACAAATTTCGTAGACATTTTGTACCATTGTCTTTCTGCTCAATCCTACCTCTGTCGATCATCCTTTTTATTCCTCCATCAGCACTGCTGAGGCCATTTGGGTAAAAAAATAGAAACTTAAGCTTTGTGGCCTAGTTTGCGCCCCAACTTACTTCCAATTTGTAGTTTCTAGCACTTAGAACTGGACCCAAAATTTTCTGTGTGGCTCAGGTCCTCTCTCTTCCCCATTCTGTGTGGTAGCTTCTTCAAGCTATTTAACTTGTATATATTCCCTGCTTTCCCTACCCTTCCTCCTTCAGCATTAGCCTTCTCCTTTACCTGATAGAGGAAATGGAAGTCATTGGATAAGAACTTCTTTACCTTTTCCTTGGCTTAAAATAAAAACCTTGTTCTGTTCCCTTTCTTTCCTTTTCTCCCTTTGCACATGGTTCCTCCTAGGCTAAAACCTTGCTCAAGACTGTCATCTTTTAAGAAAATTTAATAAATTCTTTACCCTGTGCCTTTCTCTTGATTATTATTCTTTTTCTTCCTCTTTACCCCCAAGCTTGGTATCTCCACTTACTTACTTCAGTTGTTTTTAAACCTTTGCTAGCTTTTCTGGATTTGCTCCCACCAGTTCATTGACATTCTTTTTGTCTTACTAGTGATGTCCTGGTTATTGAACTTACTGGACATTTTAGTCCTTGTCTAACTTGATTTCTGGGAAATTTTTGGTGCTGACTTCTCCTTTAATGCATCTGTACTTCTTTGGCACTTATGACCGCCATTCCCCCCCTGCCCCTTCTTCCTATCCTGATGGCTACTACTTTGTGTCTTTTGAAGGATGTTATATTTTAGTCACTGCTTAAATAGTGGTGTTTTTATATATTACCCTCTGGGCCATCTTTCTCTCACTCCTTTTTTTTTTTTTAATTTTTGATAGAGACAGAGTACAAGTGGGGGAGGGGCAGAGAGAGAAGGAGACACAGAATCCGAAGCAGGCTCCAGGCTCTGAGCTGTCATCACAGAGCCCGACCTGGGGCTCAAACTCACTGCGAGACCATGAACTGAGTTTGGACACTCAACCGACTGAGCCACCCAGGCGCCCCTCTCTTTCACTCTTTATAATGTCTCCAGAATAGCTGATTAATATCTCTGGTTGAACTTAGATCGTGGACTCCAAAATATTTATATCTAACATTGATCTTGTTTCCACTCTTACCCGTATTTATATTCTCTTCCCGCTGCAGCCAGAGTGACTTCTCTGCTCCAAATCTTATGGTGGCTCCCTTATCTAACTCAGAGTACAATCTAATTCTTTATTCTGGCTAGGGTGACCAACTCATCCTGGTTTGCCAAGGACTTTTCTAGTTTTAGCACCAAAAGTTCTATGTCCTGGGAAAATTGTCAGTCCCAGGCAAACTGGAACAGTTGGTCTCCTTCGCTGTGATATGTAAGACTCTACGTTTTCTGGTTCCTGATTATTCTTTGTCCTTTTCTCCTGTTATTTTTCTCTTATTTGAGCCATTCTACCCTCTACTTGAATGTATCCATTGGCATTAAAAATGTAACATGTCTGAGCGCCTGGCTGGCTCAGTCCATAGAGCATGTGGCTTTTTTTTTTTTTTAATGTTTATCTTTGAGAGAGAGAGAGAGAGAGACAGAAAGAAAGAAAGAGAGGGAAGGAGGAAGGGAAAGAGAGGGAGACAGAGAATCCTGAGCAGGCTCCGCACCATCAGTGTGGAGTCTGACATGGGGCTTGAACTCATGAACGGTGTGATCATGACCTGAGCTGAAATCAAGAGTCGGGTACTTAACCAACTGACCCACCCAGGTGCCCCGTGTGAGTCTTAATCTCAGAGTCGTGAGTTTAAGCCTCACATTGGGTATGGAGCCTATTTAAAAAAAAAAAAAAAAGTAACATGCCTGCAAACGAACCTATCTCCTTTGCCCTCCCCTACCATACTTGATGAATGGAGTCATAACCTGTGCTAAAGGTGTGACCACCTGTCCCTCATCCACCCCCCCCACCCCCACCCCATCCCCACCTTACCACACTGGTCTATGGATCTAATTCTGAGTTCTTGGGATCTTACCTTTGAGTCCATCTCTTGCCATCGTCACTGGTAATGAACACTGTGTAGGCGTTTATAGTTTGTTGTTTAAATTACCACAGTAGCTCCCAGTCTTGCTCTTTCCAACCCATCCATTACACTTTGTCTTCATGTTACTCCAAAGTACAAATAGTGTATCCACTCCTAAATTAGAGTCTTTTAGGCTTTCCCATGACTTTTAGGATACATTGCAAATTCCTTAGTATAATAGTATGATCTTTCACCATCTGTTGCCTATTTGCTTTTTAGTTTATCCTCATTTACTGTATGCTCTTCAGTAAAAAACAAAACAACAACAAAAACAACACCTCTAGGAACAGCCTAGGATTCTTCCTAAGGCTGTTTCTTTTTTTTTTTTTGAATTGCATCTTTTCTCCCAGTTTTGTTGAGATATAATTGACATGCAGACTGCATAAATTTAAGGTGTAACGCATAATGACTTATACATAATGTGAAATGATTGCTACAGTAAATTTACTTATCTCATATAGACATGAAAAAAAAGGGCTTTTTTTTTTTGTGATGAGAACTCTTAGGATCTACTCTTTTTATAACTTTCAGATATACCATACAGCAGTGTTAACTATAGTCATCCTGTTGTCCATTACATCCCCAGTACTTACGGTCTTATAAGTGGAAGTTTGTACCTTTAACCATCCTCACCAGTTCCTCTACTGCCCACTCTGACGGCCGTTCTTAAGTGCAAATGTTCGATCTGAGCATCTGCTGACACCATGGGTGGAGGCTTTTCCTCTGGTGAGGAGCTTTGTTGATATTTAAGACAGTAGGATTTGAAAGAATAAGTGAAAGAGTTCTCCAAAAGGCCCATATTCTTTTCATGTCTATATATGCGCTTTTGTCCAGAATGCCCTTATACCACATACTGAGTTGTGTAGTTGTATAATTGTTCATTCATGACTCTGGTGCATCTTGTGGGCTCTGACTATAATTCCCTGTAGAGAATGCTTATCCTTTCATATCGTTTTCTGCTTGGTTGTTTGTCTCCTCCATTAGACTGTACATTTCTTGAGCATAGGACTTTGTATTTTAATTTTTCTATTGCTTTTATAGTATTATACATAGTCCATAGACAGTAAACCTTTGAACTGAATGATTAATTAAATGCTTTTAGGGAATAGGGCTAGGACCCCAACCTAGCTGAGTAAAAATTTCTTGAGCATAAGTTATTGAGATCATTGGTTCAGTAAATATTTTTTTGACTGCTTTCAGTGTTGATGCATGTATATTTTAGAAATTCTTATGGCATATTTTTATATTGTTAAGAGATTCTTTAGTGGTCACATTTCATACAGTTTGTTGAGATATATTTTCCTTTAAAAACCTGGCTTAATAGTCATAAGCTTGTGGAGATTTTGAAACTGGTAAACAGACACTTCTGCTTCTCTAATTTCTACCTAGAATAATAGGCTTTAGAAGTCCTTTGGTTTCTCTTCTTGTCTACAGGCGAGAAATGTATTAAGCCTCCTAGCTTGTTCGGTAATTCAGGTTGTCTGACTTCTTTTTCTTAAGCACTGTGGTGACTCACAAGCCTTAATCCTAGAAGTTAATATTCAACTTAAGTTTCCTTTCCTCTATTAGTTATCAAATGCTGCATAACAAATCAAACCAGAACTTAAAGGCTTAAGTAGTAAAAATAATTTATTATCTCTCCTGGTTTCCGTGTATCTGGAATTCAGGAGTGTCTTGGATGGGTGGTTTGGCTTGAGATCTCTCCTCATAAGGTTATAGTTACATGTCAGGTGGGGCTGCAGGCACTTGGAGGCTTGACTTGGGCTCGGAGATACCCTTCTAAGATGGTTCACTCACATGGTCACTCACCTGTAAATTAAATATATAACTTCGGTTTGTCTCGTTTGTATTCTGCAATCGTCTACTGAACTTTTAAATAATAATGACATTTGAATGCTTAATAATTAAAATAGGGTATACGACATGTAGTAGCTAGCCTACAAGATAGCTGCCTAGCATTTATACCTTTATGTGGTTACCTCTCCCCTTCTGTATTCAATCAGGACTGGCCTATGGAATATGGTATGACAGTGTGTAGATTCTAAGGCCAGGTCATAAATGGTATTCCAGCTTCTGTTTTGGTCTTTTGGATTGTACATTCTGGGGTAAGTCAGCCAGCATGATGTGAAGATAGTCAAGCAGCCCTATGGAGAGGCTCACGTGCAGAAGAATTGAGGTGTCTTGCCAATAGCTCACACAATTTGCCAGCCCTGTGAGTGAGCCACACTGAAAATGAATCCTTCAGGCCAAGTCAGACCTGATTCAGATGCTCATAGCCCTAGCTGATATCTGACTATAACCTCATGAGAGATTGTTCTCACCAGGATGTTTTAGACCTCCAGTTGACCTAGCTGGTATTGTTCTATCAAATGACTGTTGATACCTTTTATATACTTAGCACTATGTAAAGTGTTTCAGGGAGTATAGAAATTAAAGGCAAGGCCTAAGTGTCTTAATTTCAGTGTTGATCCACTCAGATAAAGAAATTGACTAGTCACGACTTTGGGAAAAGGTTTTCTCTGCTCTTCACACTTAATGTAGTTATTATGAAGAGTTTGTTTTGCAAAGCCTACTCTCAATATTTCCTTCAAGATCAACGCATCATGTAATGATGATTGAGCTTTCTGGACACCTTTTCTCATGTTAGGTGCCATATTATCTCATCTTTCTATAGCAACTATAGGCAATCTTAACACTTTGTAATTTGCAATTTTTTAAAAAAAAATTGTCTTCTGCATCAAGCTCTTTTTTTTAATGTTTATTTTTGAGAGAAAGAGTGGGAGAGGGACAAAGAGAGAGGGAGACATAGAATCTAAAGTAGTCTCTAGGCTCCGAGCTGTCAGCACAGAGTCTGACATAGGACTTGAACTCATGAACCACAAGATCATGACCTGAGCCAAAGTCAGACACTCAACCAACTGAGCCACCCAGGCGCCCCATACATCAAGCTTTTAACGCCTTGAAAAGGAGTTAATTCTTCTATATTTTTTTAATAAATGAAGGATTGCATTGGATTAAGCTTTACGATTTCTCTTTATGACTTGGAATATCTTAAATGACATTTAAAAGATTTATGGTTCACTTTTGAACCATAAATAGTTTGATTCCTCAGAATAACCTTTTGAGATTGGTGGTTCTATCACCCTTTTAGAGATGAGGAAGCTGATGCTAAAATGACTTGCCTAAAGTTAATAGATAAATATTATAAAAGTAGGATACAAATGTCACTATACCATCAGATAATTTTATAGGGAAATGAAATCAGTGGCACATTTGCTGTTATTTTTTAGTTTCACTGTAATGTGGAAACTTTAGTTTTGTGTATCATGGCATTAAAACTGTATGTAAAATCACTTTGGTCTTTCTGTTTGGTCTTTCTGTCTTATTGAAAATACAGAAAACTTTGTAGCAAAAAAATGAAGTATAGAATAAAAATTTACAAAATTTTATGTCTGATTTTTATAGCTTAGTGATACCTTTTGAATTAATTTTTTTTTTCCTCTTTCTTCCCTTTACACCACTCCAAATCTCTTAAAGGTCTGAGGGTCATTTATGTCTTCCTGTTCGATATACACATTCCTTTCCAGAAGCCTTACAGAAGTTCTATTGTGGTGAGTTCAGGTAGGAATTTCTTACAGTTGTTTTACAAATAATCTTAATAAATATGTGCTATTAAAAATGCTATTGAACAGTACAAGTTAGATAATATTTGGCTTAGTCCGTAGTTACAACAGTAGCCATAAAAAGTAATAAACTAGCTGAGTCACAAACATGTCTACCTTACTTTCTTCTAGTCCAGGTGGAACTGTCCAGAAACCCTGACAAGTGCCCTTGGCCTGTAACATAATTGCACGTGGAGGGGTTTTCTCCATCAGTGAGATAGAGGCCACATTTCTACTTTTTAAACCTGGTTCTGTGTTCTTAGCAGTTTGGTAGAAAGATAGTTAAAACTGTTGGCTAAAATTAAGTGCTCAGATTCTGAGATTTTATATTTTTTATCCTCATCACCCATCCGGAATGGCTGAGGGTTGGATTTACTCCACTATGCTGAAGGTTCCTGATGTCTTTATTTTACATATTAAGTGCATCTTAAGCAGGGGGATGTTTTTTCATATTTTTTTTTCACTTACTGTGTTCGGAGGCCAGGCTGTCCTGAAAAAAGAAGGATGGGGGGAGGAGCTGAGATGGGGTTGGTGATGATAGTAGAGTGAGCCAAGTTGGACTACTTTTTTATTTCCTGATTTAGACTAGATTTTTATTGTTGGAGAAAGCTTTTTCTCTGGTTTTTGTGAAATTGTATTAAGTCTTCTTGACTTGTGGAATCATTAATAATGATTCCAGTTTCTATTGATTTCAGAAGTTTGGCACCTCTACAGATGACCAGTTTATAGCTACCAAATGGGAGTATATTTTTATATGCTAATCTAGCAGAATCTGTCCCACTAACTTTTTGACACATCAGTTTTTGGTTTTGAAATTAATTTTACCTGATTTTTTTTCCTTTTATCAAAAATGTTTAAGTTTTAGGTATAATCTTAAATGTTACAATATTTGTCATTGATTTCTTTTTTATTATTAAAAAAAATCATCATTACAGAATTTTAGGGGAGGGAATTTTGTCTAATCTGACCACCAGAACACAGTATTATTTTAATTTCAGAGTGCTTTCTTTTCTTCATGTTATGTTTTTGTATGAGCAAAATGCAACTATATCTAACTCAGTATCTTAGATTTAATGGATATATGATAAAGAATTAGGCTTTAATTCAGTTATGTGTGAGATTCTATATAAATACATTAGATATTTCTGTTATAATTGAGAGACCTAATCTCTAAATTTGTCTTTGAGTAGGAACCTGTGGGTTTTGGATGTTTCTGGTATAATTTGTTCATGGGATAACTAGTTTTTTAATATTTTTATTTTTTTAATTTGGTGAAATTATATCTAATTCTAAAAATACTTTATTCTATCTTAAATTAATTTGATTTTCCTTCACTCTTCTAAGGTGGTTATGGAGGCAACGAATCAGATTGTACCTTGAAGGGACTGGCATAAACCCTGTTCCCGTGGACCTTCACGAACAGCAGCTGAGTTTGAATCAACATAGCAGAGCCTTCAACATTGAAAGAGTTCATGATGAAAGTAGGTGGATTGGGAAGTAGATGTGTTTGGAGCAATATTTAACTTAGAGTTCCTTTGATTTCTAATTTCTAGAAGTAATAATTTATAATTATTTGAGGATTTTAGTGCCACTGACCATACTTAAGAAAATACAGTGAACTACTTCAGGTATAAAATTTAATGACTAGATACTGAAATAAGAAGTAAGCATATTTCCAGAAGAAATGTTATCTAGGATTGAAAACTTGTTGATTATGGAAGGATTATAAACGTCTAAGAGAATAGTTGATATTTAAGGACAGATTCTTGGCCTTAATCTTTGAAATGTCAAAAAGGAAAAAGAAAGCAGTAGAAATAAAACGAGCTAGTATGTAGATTTCATCATAATTATACACTTGTATAGTTGTATTTAAATGTATTCACCACAGTTATGCTCATTGATTTAAAACCTTTTGGTTGAGAAATTTTGCATCTTAGCCTTAAGATTTGTGTTTCAATCTCTGTAAACTGCTAAGAGAATATTAGCATAAGGTGATACGCAGTTTTTTGTTACGAGTGTTCAGGTGAATTCTCAGTTGTGAGTTAATTTGTGGGTTATAATTTAACCATATTTTCCCACTTTTTCCAGTAACTATAAGATTTTTATGATACAAGAAGATCCCAAGAGATATAGTAGATATCTACGGACTCCAGGAAAAGATATTTTTTTGTCCTGTGTTTCATTTCTTGGCTAAACTTACCAGGAAAAGCTACCTTTAAATATCTGTTTTGTCTCTGTCTTGTCGTGGTACCTGATGTTTATTTATGGTCATTGTTCTCAGAGTTTTTCATGGTGATTTAAAGCTTTTTATTTTTCAGTTTATTTATTTATTTTGAGAGAGGGAGACAGAGTGCGAGCAGGAGAGGGGCAAAGAGAGGGAGACTCCCAAGCAGGCTTCCAGCATCAGCACACAGAGCCCAGCACAGGGCTTGAACTCACAAAACCATGAGGTTGTGACCTGAGCCAAAATCAAGAGTGGGATGTGTAACCAATTGAGCCCCCAAGGCACCCCCATGGTGATTTATAGGTTTATATAGGTTAGGATATTCTTAAACTATGTGTTCATGTCATGTTTTAAAGATGCTCCCCCCACCCAATCATATGGATTCAATCATATGGATTCAATAGGAATATGGATTCCTATTACTGTTTTTCAAAGACTGCAGTAAGATTTAAATTTTTAACTAAAAGTTTTACTTTATCCCTCACCAAAAGAAGTTATTGCTACCACCAGAGATGTTTAAGATTTGGCTCTGAAATTCACCAGCTACATTATAGGAAAGCTATAGATTGATATTCAGAGATTCATTGCTCAGATTCCTGTCTCAGATTTACCGTTTAGTTTGTAAAACTAAATATATATAGAAATAAAATCACATAGTTATTAACTAAGTAACATCCAGGATGTTCACATCTGATTAATGTTTTTCTAGAAAAAGAAGAGAAAATGTTCAAAATAAAAAAAACACAAGAGAATTTCTCAAAATGTAGGCACCATTCTTTGAATTGAAAGGACTCACAAGTAATGGTAACAGATTTCAAACCAAGGTATGTCAGAATATTAGGGATGAAACAAAGCTCCTGAAAGCTTCCAGAGAGGAAGTGGTGGTGGTGATTGTGGCTGAAGTAGGTTATTTTATATGTAAAGAATCTAGAATCAGAATAGTTTCAGAATTCTCAATAGTAACACTGGAAATTACTATGCTTATTGTAATAATTATTTTTGTTAGAAGCAATTATATGATATTTAACTGTGTCTAGGCACTATTTTAGAGGGCTTTTTTGTGAGTTTTGTTATTTTTATAGCTTTATGAGAAAAAATTTAGGAAGATTTCAAATTGTATCTCATTTTTTTCTATTTAAATTCTTAGCAAGTTGGTAGGGAACATTTCTTAGGTGGGTGCCATTAGGAATTTTGAAATATTGGAGTAGATTTGAGAGTATAAATATGCTACTATGTTTTATCCTGGATTTAGCTTTCTAATTATATATTTATATGTGTTTTAATTTTTTTTTTAATTTAAATTCAAATTAGTTAACATCAGTATAGTCTTGGCTTCAGAAGTAGAACTCAGTGATTCATCTCTTACATAGGATACCCAGTACTCATGCCAAAAAGTGCCCTCTTTAATGCCAATCACCCATTTAACCCGTCCCCCTACCCACCTCCCCTCCAGCAACCCTCAGTTTGTTCTGTGTATTTTAGAGTCTCTTATGGTTTGCCTCCCTCTCTTTATATCTTATTTTTCCTTCCCATCCCGTATGTTCATCTGTCGAGTTTCTCAAATGCCACATGAGTGAAATCATATACTTGTCTTTCTTTCACTGACTTATTTCGCTTAGCATAATACCCTCTAGTTCCATCCATGTTGTCTGTTGTAAATTAAAAAAAATTTTTTTTAGAGAGAGCATGAGTGGAGGAGAGGGGCAGAGGGAGAGCGAGAGTGAGAGAGCGAGAGAGAAAGAGAGAGAGAGAGACAGAATCCTAAGCAAGCTCCACACTCAGCACAGAGCTCTATGCCAGACTTGATTTCATGACCCTGGGTTCATGACCTGAACCAAAATCAAGAGTCAGATGCTCAACTGACTGAGCCACCCAGGCTCCCCTAGCTTTCTAATTTAGAACCAAAGATTACAGAGAAAAAAAAAAATTCTAGTGTGTGTTTGTTTAACTTTTCAGCTTAAGAAAAATCTATCCTTTATTGGATTGTATTTATGTACAAGTTGTTAAAGGATATGTTCAAGGGAAGGTAGGGTTGGTATATTATTATTTTTAAAAATTTTCATCACATAAATTAGCAACTTTATTTGCAAGTCGAGTTGTATTAATTTGGATAAGTAAATTGATTTGATAAATAATCCCAGATTCTCAGTGGCTTAACATATTGAAAGTTTATTTCTATTTCATGTCACTGTCACCTGGGTGTTGAAGAACTTCCAAACAGTGCCTCCTACCATCTTCTAAGGCCTCTGAGTTTTCTATTGGATCCTCTGGAGCTTGTGGAAAGAAGAAAGAGCATAGAGTATCTTAAGGCAGGTTTTAGGAGCCAGGCTTTATCACTACTTTTCCTCATATTTCATTGGCCATTACTAGTCTCATGGGTGTACCCACTGCAAGTAAACCTGAAAACATAGTATAGCAGCATGGTGGTGAAAGAGAATTGTACATGTAGTGGTCCCTGTTACTAATATAACAATTCTATATTTAAAAATACAAATTATAATTAATTTTGTAATCCATTGTTTTGGATAGAAAATTGTTAATTGTCCTTTACATGTCCTATTGAATTAAGTTATAAATGTACAGTTTCATTGGTTAGGTAGTGTTTGGTAGTAGTCAATTAGCATGAAAGAAAATATAGGCAGAATTAAGATGATTAATGAATGAGACCTGAAGCAATCTTAATTTTCTTGTTTGACAAAGGGTTCTAGGTGAAATTCAGCAAGTACACACAATAAAAGTGCAAAATGGAAAGGAAAATTTGGGTAGGGAGAAATGGGAATAGAGGCAGAAAGTCAAGACTATATAAAATACATGGTTACAGTTTGGTGAGAAATCAGATTTATTAGTAATATTTAGTGAGTACCTACTGTTAGTTTGGCATTTGCAGAAAATCTGTGGGGAGATGTAAAACAAATTCCATTAGGAATTACCTTACGTAGGGGTGCCTGGGTGGCTCAGTCAGTTAAGCCTCTGACTTCGGCTCAGGTCATGATCTCACAGTCTGTGACTCTGAGCCCTGCGTCGGGCTCTGTGCTGACAGCTCAGAGCCTGGAAACTGCCTAGGATTCTGTGTCTCCCTCTCTCTCTGCCCCTCCCCCACTTGTACTCTGTCCCATTCTCTCTCTCTCTCTCTCTCTCTCTCTCTCTCTCTCTCCCCCTCCCTCCCTCCCACCCTCCTTCCCTCCCTCCCTCAAAAATAAACACTAAAAAGAAAAAGCAATTACCTTATGTAAAGAAAAATAATTTAAAGAATAAAATTTAGTTTTTTACATTTGTAAAACTGTTAAATTTTGACATGTGTGAGAATGATAGATCTAGTACCAAATTAAGACAATTTCAAAAGTTAGGTTTTATAATCTTTAATGTGAATTTGATTAAACATATCAAATTTTTTGATATACCTTTTTGTGTCAAGTTTTTTCAGCTATATTATGAGATTGAGCTGATCACGTTAGCCCATTGTACAGTTTAATCAGATAACAAGTTTTCTTATGGTCTTTAGCATTGTATGACAACTTGTTATATTCAAAAGCATCATTGGGTCCCCCATAGACTGTTGAATCCAAAAGAAATGAGATACGTGTAATTAGTGTCTAATAAACATATAAACAGGAATATAATAGGGTAGCAAGTCAGGAGAATATTAGATCAGTGGTTGTGTTGGTGACAGTGGTAGAGATTTTATTAGTATATGAGGTATTTAGTGTGTATTAGATATTTATTACTGCATAACGAATCATCCCCAAATTTAGCATCTTAAAACACAAATATTTATGATTTCAGAGATTGTGAAGGTCAAGAATCCAAGAACAGGTTAGATTGTTAGTTCTGGTTTAGAGTCTTTTGGGAGGAGGATCAAGCTGTCATCCAGGACAGCAGTATCTGAAGACATCTGGGACTGGAAGATGTGCTTCTCAGCTCCTCACATAACTGTTAGCGGGAGGCTTTAGTTCCTCACTATGTAGGCCTCTTTATTGGACTGCTCATGAAGTCTCTCCCCATCCCCCCAACCCCCCAGAAGCCAAGTGATCTGAGAAAAGAGGCTGAGGTGGAAGGAAGCCAGGGTGGCTTTTTAAACCAAATCTCTGAAGTGTCGTACCATCACTTGTATCGTACCCTATTTGGTCACATAGACCAAACCTAATATGCTATCAGAGAGTTACACAAGAATGTGAATACCTGGAGGCAGGATTCACTGGGGACCCTGTTAGAGGCTAGTTACCACAGTCCAGGTAGACTTTCAAGCTTTGACTTAGGAGAAAGCATGGAGGAGACAGAGAAGGGAACTTGTTCCACAATGCTTGCCCAGCGAGAGTTGGGTGCAATGAATCTGCTTTTGGTGACATTGAGAAGATGAGGTTGGCATTTCCAGTTGGGAGACTGATAAAAGATAAGTAAAAGAAACCATTTGAAGGTGACAATTGCAATTTTAATTGAGAAAGCAGTGGGAATCCTTTGGAGGATTTTGTGATGAAGTGAGGTTTAAATATCATCAAGGCAGATTACATAAACTGTGCATATAGCCTTATAGAATAAAAAAGAAAAAAAAGACATTTTTCAGAAGTCATGAAAGGAGATGTGGCAGTGTTCCTTCAGGACTACTATTGCTAGAAACACTCTTGAAGTTTTCTATTTAAAAAAAAAAGAAATCTGATCTCTAATAATAACTGATTTGGTTTCCAGTATGAGCCATGGGTGTAATTTGCCACTTAACTTCAAAGTGGCTCTCCTCTGGAAGTACTTGATCATTTCTACCTCTGAAGCTTTTAGAGAGAAATTAAATGTGACAACAAAAATCTTATGAGAAGAATAAATATGTATTTTCTCGGTCTTGAAAAATTGTTTCAAGAAGAATTAAGGCTTATTTTGGAGAGCTAGAGGCTTCATTGCAGCAATGTTAGATGACTTTGAGGTTCATATTATGAACATTTTATTTATTTTTTAATATTTTTGTTTTTTATTTTTTTATAATTTTTTTCGCATTTATTTATTTTTGAGAGACAAAACAAGACAGAGCGTGAGTGGGGGAGGGGCCAAGAGGGGAGGGGGGGACACCGAATCTGAAGCAGGCCCCAGGCTGTCAGCACAGAGCCTGATGCGGGGCTCAAATCCACGGACCCTGTGATCATGACCTGAGCTGAAGTCAGATGCTTAACCGACTGAGCCACCCAGGCGCCCCAGTTTTTTCATGTTTTATTTATTTTTGAGAGAGCGAGCGAGTGAGCATGAAAGAGTCAAATGAGCATGAGTAAGCGGGGGAGGGGCAGAGAGAGACAATCTGAAGCAGACACCACACTGTCAACACAGAGCTGACACGGGGCTTGAACCCACGAGTGGTGAGATCATGACCTGAGCTGAAGCTGGATGCTGAACTGACTGAGCCATCCAGGCGCCCCTATTATGAACACTTTTTTTTTTTTTTTAATTTTTTTTTTTTTCAACGTTTATTTATTTTTGGGACAGAGAGAGACAGAGCATGAACGGGGGAGGGGCAGAGAGAGAGGGAGACACAGAATCAGAAACAGGCTCCAGGCTCTGAGCCATCAGCCCAGAGCCCGATGCGGGGCTCGAACTCACGGACCGCGAGATCGTGACCTGGTTGAAGTCGGACGCTTAACCGACTGCGCCACCCAGGCGCCCCTATGAACACTTTAAATAAATATTTTATTTATATGTTAATAATGTTAAAGTATGGATTATAGTGAAAAGTGTGAATATTGTAATGTCTCATAAAATTGAAATCCTAACGTTTCTAAGATTTAAACAAGTTGTCTTGAAAAAATTTTTTTCATCACCTTCAGGACCTGAGGCTTCAGGACCCCAGCTTTTGCCAGTGAGGGCACTAAATGAAGTCTTCATTGGGGAGAGTCTATCATCCAGGTACTTTTAAACCTGTGATCTTGAGTTTGAGTTTGGAATTTAATGTTTTAGTATTTTTTAGATATTTATTCAATTTCTATAACTTAAGAATTATAAATAATTAAGGTGGTAGAAGTAATAGAAGTGAATTATTAAATGAAATATTTCCCAAACCCTCTCACACATTTATACGTGTTAAGGGGAAAGAAGGTTCTATGACCAAAAAAGTTTGTGAAACCCTAGATTAAACAAAAAGTTATTTGGGTCCTGTTACTGCAGAGCCTTTAATCTATCATATAGGTGGCTTTATAAATGTTTAAGAGAATGATATACTAGGCATACATTTGCAGTTTTTACAAACTTTTATAGACAGTCCATATCACAACTTCTCTACTAATTATCTTAATAGTGTCCCTTAAGGTAGATTTGTTTGCTTATTTTTATCCAGGATCTAGTTAAGGATTATGCATTGCATTGGCCATCATGGCCCTTCAGAATTAAGAACAGTTCCTCAGTCCCACCACTGTTTTTTCATTCATGATATTAATATTTTGGAATAGTCTAACCCAGTTGGTTTGTAGAATATCCCTTGTTTTAGATTTGTATGATTTTTTTCCTATGCATGATGAGATTCATGCTAAACATGTTGGGCAGGAATACTACTTGGTGCTAATTGTATCCCTTATGCAACATCGTATGTCAAGTATATTGACAGTTTAAGATTTGTAACCATTATTAGCAAATATTAAGGTTAATAAAGTTCCTCATTAGTATAAAAATAATAGTATTTTATTACTGATGAAATGTTTTGTGGGTGTTGAGTATAACTTAGGCTTATATTGTCAGAATTTTGTTTCAAAACTTTTTGTGTGACATTAGTTACCAGCTGTAAAATGACTGCCATAATGTAACGTTAATTTAATTCTTCATTGTCATTTAGAACTTGCTTTTGCATTTTTCTAGATGTAAATGAATTAGGAATGGAAAATTAGAGATGAATCTGTCCCACTTTGCTGCTACCAGAACCATGTGACCCTTTGAAGATCATGTAGTTGATTCCCTAGCTTACTGAGAGTTCCATGTATTCTGGAATTCTGTTCGTTGTCCTGTCTTTTCATAAGAAGTTTAATTATGATGAGAAATGTTTGTCTTAATTAAAGAAGATATCTCTGTTTTAGCCAATCATTAACTCAGGTAGTACTGAAAAGAACAAAGCTTGATTCAGCAGCATGCTTTGGCCAATCTTTTTCAGTTATAATTATTTTGATTAATGTAATTTTAAGTTTATTCAGTAAAAATATATTGTGTACCTGCTATGTGTGACATGCAAGTCACTAGGGATCTTATTTTTTTTGGAGCGTGGTAAAATGTATAATTTTTTAAAGTATTAAAAGTAAAAGTTATTCTTCAAAGGAATCCTAAACATACATTCTTTACAGAATGTAAAGTGTAAATATGTTTATTTTAACATAGTAATAAGACTTACACTATACATAAGATTTTTTCTTTTGCTGTATACCAAGTTTGAAGCAATATGGAAGTGAATAATGGATACTTTTATGTGATAAAGAAGGCAGAAAATGTATCTCTAATTAGTGATATAATTTAGTCATGATTACTAAAAACAGAAGGCAGAAAGCAACAACTTTAAATGAAATTGAAGAAATTTCTACATTAAATAGATGACAAATGAAACCTTGCCATTTGTGACAGCATGGATGGACCTAGAGGGTTTTATGCTAAGTGAAATAAGTCAGTTAGAGAAAGGCAATTACCATGTGATTTCACTCATAATGTGGATTTTAAGAAACAAAACAAATGAACAAATAGAAAAAAAAAGAAACAGACTCTTAAATACAGAGAACAAACTGGTGGTTGCCAGAGGGGAGGGGTGGTGGATGAAAGAGATAGAGGGGTTTAAGAGAGCACTTGTCTTGATGAGCTCTGAGAGATGTATACAATTGTTGAATCATACTGTACATCTGAAACTAATAGAACACTGTTAATTATACTTGAATAAAAAAATAATAGGTGACAAAGGTAAAAATGTTTTGTAAGTTTATGTTTATCCTAGAGAAGCCATTTAATGGCTTATGATATTCGGTTTGTATATTTTAAAAGTTGTAACTTCTGAGAGCTTCTACTAGTGTTGCTTTATAATTTGTACTTACTAAAAATTAAATAACTTATAAAAGGAGGAAAACTGGGATCAGTTGACAGACTTGGGAATTCAGTGAAGTCCCATTAGATTTTAGATTGAATGTTGTTTTCTGTGGCAGCAGTGATTTGGTTGGTTTATCTCCTAAATAATGTCTGATGCTGCTTCTTTTTGTGTTCTTTGAGCCTCACCTTATATCCTTACTAAGATAAGGAGACCAGTGGGTTCACTTCTGATGCTATTGAAAAAGTTCTCACTATTGGAAGTATTAGAACTTACTTTTAAAGAATCTATGACATAGACCCTTAGCTGGAGAGGAAATGAACACTTACTGGATGCCTGCTGTGTGTCAGGCACTGTGTGTATTACCGCATTAAACTCTCATAGCAACCCTGTGAGAAAGGGTAGTTGTAATTATCAGTGAAAAAACTGAGATTTGAAGAGTTCAAATGACTTGTCCTTGGTCATATAATTAATTAGTTAGCATTAGAACTGTCATATAAAACCCAGTATTTCTGATTCCAGGTCCTGTACTGAGGCTTCACTATGCCCTGAAAACTTAAGTGCTTTGCTTGGAAAATATGAAGTGCAGCAATATTATTCCTGCCTCATTTATAATGTTCTTACATTTAAGAACATTTTAAAAGCCCAATTTTTTTTTCTTTTCTCCTATTTGTTCTAACCTAGAATGTCTTATTCTTGGGCTGTAGCAGTGGAGAATTTAAGAAGAAGTATACCCACTCTAAAGGGACTGTGAGTTTTATTGCTGCCTTAAAAAAATAATTTCCCTGAAAAAAAATTTCTGAGTTGACTAATCTTGATAAACCTGCATGTGAGAATGACACTAAATTTGCTCATTGTTTTGGACTCAACACCTCTTACCTGACTATACTTTTCTTCCTCTCCAGCTCTGCTTCTCTCCTGTCCCCACTTAACTCTAATCAATCTTTTGTTTCAGTGTGATTCTGGCATAATAGCAGCCATTCCTGTAGAGTTGACTGGCTTGTCTGAATGTAATAGGCTCCTAATATGCCTAAAATTCCCAACATTCTAGGAAGACATAACAAAGCTATGAAATAGATTAAATGTGAATATTAGGCCTATCTTTTATGAAGAATGGTGACTTCAGAAAAAAAATGAAAAGGAGTTGTGCCATGTAAAACCTTTAAAGATTGAATTTGGCAGGAGAAATTGAAAGGGTTAAAATAAGAGATAATATTATCCAATGAATGTTAGTGTTTGCAAGCCTAATAATTGTCATTATTGGAAAAGCTATATTAAGAGTTTAACTTTTTTATCTGCTGAACAAAAATAACCCAGTGTTGATCAATGACACCATTATTTTAAGATACAGTTTACAAAATAAGCTTTTACATGTTTCAAAAGTTTTTTTGAATAATTGCAAATTTGTATGTTCATACAGTTAAGGAATAGTGCCATTTTTTCTGGTGTCAGAAAACCCATTTGATTTAATACTTATGAAATACTGTAAGAAATAGAAATCTCTAAAGAAATTATAGTTTTAGTTTTATTCCTAGTTTTGCCCACTGATGCAGTACTGAGAATTTTCTTTAGAACTTTATCTCTCTTAGCCTACTATCAATTCAAAAGGCACATTAACATGTAACTTAAAAAACACGAGTTGACCAGGAACTGTTGGTAACTTGAAGGATTAGATACAGATTGGGATATATCAAGAACTATCTACCAAGAATGAAACTCACTTAAGAATGGTATTTTCTTTTTGAATTCTGAAATAAGGATCTGTATGTGTTAGAGTCCATAAAAACAGTAGAAGCAATCATAGGTAAAAATTTATAAGGAGCCCTTGTTTGAAATGTTAAAATACTGATATAAAGGAGCATATGGATAGGAGAGGGATGCAGTTTTACAGATTTTTTTTTTTTTTTACTTTTTTACTTAATCAGTATTGGTATTAGCATCATGGTGTGCGTGCCTAAGTCAGGTATGTCTGAGTCAAGCTGGCCCACTTAGAGTCCATTAGTTCTGAAGAAACGGTGTTTGTCTTATTTACCGTGAGCCATAAATTCAGCAAATCCAGTTTTATATTCTCAATTCTTAGGGCTTCCTACTATGAGATTTCAGTTGATGATGGTCCATGGGAAAAACAGAAGAGTTCAGGGCTCAATTTGTGTACTGGAACAGGATCAAAGGCCTGGTGAGTACCTTGGGATGTTACTTATTGACTTTTGTGAAATATTTTAAGTAATGTAATTTACTCGATGCTGCATATCAGTGTATCTAAGGCCTCTGAAACGCAAGAGGTAGCCTGGTGTTGTTATGTTGGTTGGCCCAGTTTCTGCTTTACTCATCAGTTGGCTCTAGAAGTCCTGCCTGGACTTCTTAGATTAGAGCTATAGCATGGATTTGGTCATTTTTTAGCCTGTTGCCCTAGGTTTGTAAAGAGAAAAAAGAAAATGTTTTGGGGGACTGTATTGTTTTTAAATGAAAAATATTTTAAATAATAGTAAAGAAATGAAAACAACTACAGTAACAACAACAAATGTCCTGGAGGTTTGTGCGTCAAAGGCTTAACTAGAGATAACTTGGGCTCCTGTATCTTGTTTACCCTATAACCTCTCTCTGGGTAATGGCTTCGCTTCTTGGTACACAGACATGGATGCCTCCCAGACTTTTATCTGTAGCTATCTTGTTTCCTGAGCCCGAACTTCTGTTCTAAAATTACCTACTAAATAGAATGTTAATAGACCTTCAAATTCAACACATTCAAAACTAAATTTATTATCTTCAGGTTTTTTTTAAGGTTTTATTTATTTATTTTGAGAGAGAGAGAGAGAGAGAGAGAGAGAGAGAGCGAGCGAGCAAGTGGAGGGGCAGAGAGAGAGGGAGAGAGAAAATCCCAAGCAGGCTCCACACTGTCAGCACAGAGCCCATGTGGGGCTTGAACTCAGGAACTGTGAGATCATGACCTGAGCCAAAATCAAGAATCGGACACTTAACTAAGTGAGCCACCCAGGCGCCCCCATCTTTAGTTTTTCTTGCTGTGATCCCTGTATTGCTTAATAATATCACTGTTATCATGAGTTCATGCTCTAGAGAAAAAACAGTACTCCTTAAAACCTGGCTCTTACTTTTGAGTCTCCCTGTTCTCCTCTTTACATGTACTGGTCTCTGAATCCTGCCAGTCACGCTTCTGAAGTCCTTGCCCCTCTTTTTCAGTTTCTACTGCTGTGTGGTCTACTGCTCTATGCCACACTTCTGTTTCTGCAGTTTCTACTGCTGTTTGGTCCAGGCCCATCTTTTTAGTGAATAATCTTTGTGCCTCACCCTTTATTCTTCAGGCTGTCGTCCATACTGCCAACAGAGTAATATTTCTAAAATGTAGATAAATTTGACTATTCCTTTCTGTGCTGTAAAAGCTTCTTTGACTTCTGTGTTCAGATTAGTCTGCGTGTAAGACCCTTTAAATATGATCTAAGAAACTTCACCAGCCTATTGTTGCCTTACTCTAACTCATTGGCACAATGGGGACACTGCAGGCTACTTGCAATTCTCAGCACAAGCCACATTGTCTCTGGGCTTTTTGTTTTTGCTCAGTGCAACTTCTTCCTGCATTGAATGCCTGAACATTTTCCACTTTCCTTCCCCTGGCTGAAAAATCCAGTCTTCAAATGTCATTCTCTGTAGGAAATCTCTACTAGGACCTAGTTCTTTTCATCAGCATAATGAATCCCCTTTTGGTGCATCCCAAGCACTTTTTCGTAATAGCACTTTGATAGCACTTACCACATTATTAGTTCTCTAATTACCTAATACCCAGCTGGTTTGAGCAACTTGAGGTATTTGGCATGGTGACTAGTGGTTTTTTTGTTTGTTTAATTTTTGCATGTATAGCACAGTACCTAATACATATTCTCTCATTTTTTTTTCAAATAAATGACTACATGCTTACAAATACAGCTAGCAAACACAGTATTAATCTGTGATTTTAAGTTTGGATAGTTTAAAATGGAGTTTTACTTCCCATTTTTTCGGTGTTTTTAATACTTTTTATTGTGGAAAAACTTAAAGATCTGTAAGAGTAGGCAAAATAGTATAATCAATATCTGTGTACCCATTAGTCAGTTTCAATAATTATCAACACATGCCCAATCTTGTTTCCCTTTTGTCTTTTTTTGTCTCATAATACTTAAGTAATTTTCAGACATCACAGTTCATTCATAAGTACTTAGTAACTTCACATCTTTTAAAAATATCCTAGTCTTAGCCAAATAAACCTTTGGAGAAAAATGAGAAGTATCATTTTAAAATATTGGTTAATATTTCATTTTCCTGAGGGGGCCAGTGAGAACTACATGTCTAAAATGACTTTAACAGTAGTTTGCAAAAGTAATTTAATAATCTAAGATGCTATAAAATTATTTTGTAGCCCTCATAAAATGAAAACATTAGTTAATTGCTTTAATTTATCATAACATCTTTTCTGCTCAACATGATATGTTACTTGGTGAAAACTGGATTGAAAATCAGAAATGGTTTCCCAGATCCTTCTCCTCTTCTCCTAGGATTCTCACCGCCCCCCCCCCCCCCCCCCCCCCCCCGCACCCCCATCGTGGGCAAAGGTGTAATTGAAAAGAGTACTGGCCTGGAAGTTAGAGAGACCTGGCAAAATCACCAACTAGCTTTGTGATCTTGTACAAGTTTCCTTTTCTGAAAAATGAGGGGAAATGGAACAGATAAAATAAGATTATCTTCTGGACTGTGATTCTGTAGGTTCTGTTGTATGCAGTAAATACAAGCTATCAGTTATTTAGCCCCTGTTACTTTGAATATACTGTGGTAGGTACTTTTTATACATTGACTATAATTCTTACAGAAATCCTGCAAGAAAGTGGTAGTATCCCTGTTTTATAAAGTAGAAATTGAGGCTTCACAAGGATAAACAATTTAGGGTGAGGTCAGAACTAATGTCAGAACCTGGATAAAAAAAGCTCAGGTGTGCTTGACTAAAAAGCCAGTGCTTTTTTGACTGCCAGCTTTTTAATGTTTATTTATTTTTGAGAGAGACAGAGACAGAATGTGAGTGGGTTAGGGGCAGAGAGAGAGAGAGAGAGAGAGAGAGAGAGAGGGAGAGAGAGGGAGAGAGAGGGAGAGAGAGGGAGAGGGAGAGAGAGGGAGACAGAATCCGAAGCAGGCTCCAGGCTCTGAGCTGTCAGCACAGAGTCCGACGCGGGGCTCCAACTCACAAACCGTGAAATCATGACCTGAGCCAAAGTCGGGTGCTTAACTGATGGAGCCACCCAGGCGCTCCTGACTGCCAGTTTTTAAATGCAGAGGGGGAGCTGTCTGTAGAAGCCACTGGTTCAAAGATGTGTCACTAGGTTGTATCGAAAAATTATTAAGGTAAACTTGCTAATCTTAGTGAAACCGTGGTTATGCTAAAGGCAGTGAATAGGCTTTTGACTTTTGCACTGGGGTGTATGTGATTTTATTTTTTTTATTAGAAAAAATGTTTTAATGTTAATTGATTTTTGAGAGAGAGAGAGACAGAGCATGAGCGGGGGAAGAGCAGAGAGAGAGAGACACACAGAATCTGAAGCAGGTTCCAGGCTCTGAGCTGTCAGCGCAGAGCCCAGTATGGGGCTCGAACTCACAAATCACAAGATCATGACCTGAGCTGAAGTCAGATGCTTAACCGACTAGCCACCCAGGTGCCCCTGATTTTGAATGTTTTCAACCTTTCAGTAGTAAGAAGAGCATAAAGGATAAGAGCCATAGGCTTGCTTGTAAAGCAGTCCTGCCCTCCATTGCCACACACCTTATAGTTGAGTCCTGTGTTCCCATTGGATGTGAATAAATGTGGCTTAGATTAGAATTTCATTCATTTCTGTGTTGCTTAATAAAGTCTGATGTCTAGAACTCTGTCACTAACTATATCCTATCCCTGCCACCTAGATTACTCAGCCTCTTCTCTCTTCAGCCTATGTAGCTTGCTTGCTTCTAATGTTCTACCTTACTCCCTCCCATTGCTGATTGTTCTTTGCCTGTGATTGCGTTTTCCCATTCATCTTCTGTCCTTCTCTTCAGAAAATGGAGGGAGAGAGGAGAAGCCTAGGGGCCAGAAGGACTGAGGAAAGCTATACATTTCCATACATTAATAACTTTTATCAAACTACCATTAAAAAAATTTTTTTAACATTTATTTATTTTTGAGAGTGTGAGCAGGGGAGGGGCAGAGAGAGAGGGAGACACAGAATACAGAGCCTGATGTGGGGCTCCAACCAACGAACCATGAGATCATGACCTGAGCTGAAGTCAGATGCTTAACCAACTGAGCCACCCCAGTGCCCACCCCCCTTTTTAAAGTTTATTTATTTTGAGAGACACAGACAGCACAAGTGGGGGAGGGGCAGAGAGACAGGGAGACAGAATCCCAAGCAGACTTCATGCTGTCACTGCAGAGCCCGATGCGGGGCTCAAATCCACAAAACCATGAGATCATGACCTGAACCTAAACCAAGTCAGATGCTTAACTGACTGAACCATCCAGATGCCCCTTGAACTACCATTTCTAAGCACTTTCTTTGTCTGAGCTAAATATGTTAAATTTTCAAAAAAACTCTGGAAGTAGGTGATTATTTTTTAAAGTTTATTAATTTATTTTGAGAGAGAGCATGTGTGCGATTAGGGGAAGGGGAAGAGAGAGAGGAAGAGAGGGAATCCCAGGAAGGCTCTGCACTGATGTGGGGCTCAAACTCATGAACCGTGAGATCATGACCTGAGCTGAAATCAGACGTTTAACTGACTGAGCCACCCAGGTGCCCCTGGAAATACGTGATTTTATTTTCGTTAATAGAGTAGTAAAGTCTCAGAAGTTTCCCAAAGCCATATGGCTAATAAATGGTGAAGACAGACTTTAAATTCTGTAGACCTTAGGAATCACTGGAAAGAAAGGAATAGAATAGCTTATTTCTTTTACTCTTTTTTTTTAAATTTATTTTTTATTTTTTAAAATTTAAATCCAAATTAGCATATAGTGAAACCATGATTTCAGGAGTAGATTCCTTAATGCCCCTTCCCCATTTAGCCCATTCCCCCTCCCACAACCCCTCCAGCAACCCTGTTTGTTCTCCATATTTATGAGTCTCTTCTGTCTTGTCCCCCTCCCTGTTTTTATATTCTTTTTTCCCTTCCCTTATGTTCATCTGTTTTGTCTCTTAAAGTCCTCATATGAGTGAAGTCATATGATTTTTGTCCTTCTCTAATTTCACTTAGCATAATACCCTCCAGTTCCATCCACGTAGTTGCAAATGGCAAGATTTCATTCCTTTTGATTGCCGAGTAATACTTCATTGTATATACTCCACATCTTCTTTATCCATTCATCCATCGAGGGACATTTTGGGCTCTTTCCGTACTTGGCTATTGTTGATAGTGCTGCTATAAACATGGGGATGCATGTGTTCCTTTGAAACAGCACACCTGTGTCCCATGGATAAATGCCTAGTAGTGCAATTGCTGGGTCATAGGGTAGTTCTATTTTTAGTTTTTGAGGAACCTCCATACTGTTTTCCAGAGTGGCTGCACCAGCTTGCATTGCCACCAACAATGTAAAAGAGATCCTCTTTCTCCGCATCCTCACCAACATCTGTTGTTGCCTGAGTTGTTAATGTTAGCCATTCTGACAGGTGTGAGGTGGTATCTCATTGTGGTTTTGATTTGTATTTCCCTGATGATGAGTGATGTTGCGCATTTTTTCATGTGTCGGTTGGCCATCTGGATGTCTTCCTGGAGAAGTGTCTATTCATGTCTTTTGCCCATTTCTTCACTGGATTTTTTGTTTTTTGGGTGTTGAGTTTGATAAGTTCTTTATAGATTTTGGATACTAACCCTTTATCTGATATGTCATTTGCAAATGTCTTCTCCCATTCTGTCGGTTGCCTTTTAGTTTTGCTGATTGTTTCCTTCACTGTGCAGAAGCTTTTTATTTTGATGAGGTCCCGATAGTTCATTTTTGTCTTTGTTTCCCTTGCCTCTGGAGATGTGTTGAGTAAGAAGTTGCTGTGGGCAAGATCAAAGAGGTTTTTGCCTGCTTTCTCCTTGAGGATTTTGATGGCTTCCTGTCTTACACTGAGGTCTTTCATCCATTTTATTTTTGTGTATGGTGTAAGAAAGTGGTCCAGGTTCATTCTTTTGCATGTCTCTGTCCAGTTTTCCCAGCACCACTTGCTGAAGAGACTGTCTTTATTCCATTGGATATTCTTTCCTGCTTTGTCAAAGATGAGTTGGCCATACGTTTGTGGGTCCATTTCTGGATTCTGTTATGTTCCATTGATCTGAGTGTCTGTTCCTGTGCCAACTTTTACTCTTAATTCTTGATATTAGGAGATAAAAGTTTTCCTATGTGACCCTCTCCTTGCTTTGACTATATAAAATATGGAAATGTATGACTTTGGATAAGATAGTTGTTATAACTGATAAACCCCCACTCAGTGAATTAACACAATAGAAGTTTATTTCTTGTTCTTATAAAGTCCAAGTGGGTGTTCCCAATTGGGAGGTGGGTCTCAAAGTGGTGACTCCAGGTATCCAGGCTCTTTGCATCATCTGCTTCAACCATCTTTTAAACATAGCTCTTGAAGTCACTCTACTCATTTAAATGAAGCCACAGAAGGAAGAAAAGCATGGAGGGTCACCTATGGCAGGCTTATGAGACAGTCTTAGATATGTTGTCTATGACATCTACTCTCATTCCTGTAGCTAGAACTCAGTCACATGGATTTATGGCAAGAAAGGATGGAAAAGATAGTCTAAGTATGCATGTAAGTACACACACACACACACACACACACACACACACACGAAGGGTTTGGGGATTGGCTCTCCCATTTTGCACTTCCCAAAATTCCTCCACAGGATATAGGATGTAGGGGTTATGTTGCATAGCAGGTTGTCTCTGATTTGTCCCATTGTCATCTCAGTCCTCTTCCCAGCATGGAACACGATTTGCTACATTCACTGGGAGAAGTACTACTGAGCGCAATCACATATATTTCTGTGTGTTTTTTTAAAAGACTTTTCCCAGTTCCCTTCCTTTACACATTCTGTTTTAGCTGACTTAATTAAGGGTAAGTGTTCTTAAGTGAAGAAAGCTTTACTAGCTAAAGAAGAGACGAGATTCAATTTGTCTTCAATTTGATTGTCTTTAGTGGAAGTTTTATCTGATTTCAAATGGAAACTCTTAGAATGGCAAAGGTTGTAGACCTAAGAATAAAGGCATCATGTGTTAGCTCATACCTGTTTAAGCATATAGTTTGTCTTTGATGTAGAATATAAACCACTCCTAAAGGGAGAGTGAATTGCCTGAGATCCAGGTTACAACCATAGGAAATTCGTCTTAACCCCAATTCAGAGGACTTAGTTTGGGTTGGCTTATGATATCCCTAATAAATCATAATTCTAGGAATATTTGATCAAATCATAGAAGACTTTTGTTCTCTTAAATTAAGTCTTCAAGGGTCACCTGGGTGGCCCAGTTGGTTGAGTGACTATCGAATTCGGCTCAAATCATGATCTCACGGTTTGTGGTTTCAAGCCTCACGGTGCCTGCTTAGGATTTGCTCTCTACCTCTCTGCTCCTCGCGGGCTCATGTGCTCGCTCTCAAAATAAAAAAAACTCAAAGAAAAATTAAATCTTCAGTATTTTAATTCAGTGGAACCCTAATAAACATGGCTCATTTTATGTGACTTTTAATTTAAAATAAAATTCTGAAACCATATCTTCTAATGTCAATTAGAATATAATTCATGCATATCTCTTTCATTTGATACTTTCATTCGGTATTGAGTTCTTGCCATGAGCCAGGTAGTGCCGCAAATGCCTTGCAGTGTGTATGTAATTATGCAGACAGTAATTATGATGAGATATGTATTGCGAACTTCACGCTGAACAGTAAAAAAGTCAGGACACTTACTGGTGAAAAATAGAATATGGTGAAAAATAGAATAGGCAAGGGCCAGATTTGGGATTTTTTTAGCATAGGGATTTGGTGTGTGAATGACCCCAAATTTTTAATATAAAACTTGTTACCTGCATTTTTAAGAGAATGCCCTAAATGTTATCACATTTCTCAAAACGTGAAGGGCATAGGGTTGGAAGTGTATGCAAGAGTATCTATTACTCCCCCTCCTCAGAAAGGTTAAGAGCCACTGAATTATGTTTATAGAGTTGTTTGGGTCATTATGCTGCTGTTCATTGAGATTATCTACTGAGGCCATGTGAGAATTCTGTAGCAACAGAATTCTGAATTACTGGAAAGAATTAAAAAGAAGAAAAAACCCAAAAACGTTTCCTTAACCTTCTTTGTAGACCCAAGGACAGAGCTACTTTTAGGTGATTCGTGTTTGTGTTAACATTTGTTCTTAAGTGTTTAAGCAAAGCATCACACTGGTAAAGATTTCTCATCTTTTCTATTTTGTAATTTAAAGAAATATTTACAAGTTAAAAATAGGTTATAGTACAGGGACACCTTGGGTGGCTCGGTAGGTTAAGTGTGTCTGATTTCAGCTCAGGTTATGATCTTGCAGTTTGTGGGTTCACGTCCCACATCGGACTCTGCTTGGGATTCTCCCTCTCCTTCTCTGTCTGCACCTCTCCTGCTCATGCTCTTTCTCTCTCAAAATAAATAAATAAACATGAAAGAATGTTATAGTACAAAAGGGTTTAAAATGAAAAGCTAGTCTTTCATTTCATATATCTAGTACTAATCTCCAGGCACAACCTATATATATATATATATATATATATATATATATATATATATATATATACACACACACACACACCCATACACACACATATACATATATACATATATATATAACGCATATTCTGTATAATGCCTTTGTTGTTTTTTTTTAACTTATGTTTCTATCAGCACATACAGTTCTATTTTATGCTTTTTAATCTCTACATAGTAACATATTTAACCAGCTTCCTACGGCTATGAGTTGTTTTGCTATTATAAACAATGCTTCAGTAAATATCCTTGTACATGTCTTTTGTGTACTATAGACAGAAGTATCTTTTGGGATAAATTAGGATGAGTAATATGTTCATTTAAAATTTTAATAGTGAAGAATTGCCATCCAACTGCAACTTCCATAATGCCATCATGTATGAATGAGAATGTCTTTCATATACCTTTCATACATTATCAGTTTTTAATTTATGTGTCCTTAAGTAGGAGTAAGATTGAACGCTTTTTCATGTAAGCCTATAAACCGTTTACTTTGCCCACTTTTTAAAAGTGGGTGAAGTACCTATCATATTTTGGTTGCTTCTTCTTGATAATTTCTAAGAGTTCTCTGTATATTAAGTAGATAATTCCTTTTTAATTTAAAGTGTGTTTTTAGAATGAGAACAAAGAACTTACATGGTGTTTCTTTCTAGGTCATTCAATATTAACAGGGTTGCGACCCAGGCTGTGGAAGATGTTTTAAATATTGGTGAGTACCAGAATAGCTATTTATGTTACAATTATAATGTACTATATAATGTATATATTTTATTGTATGTTAGCTATTATGACATTATTTAATCAAGATATTCCACCCTTTCCTTTTTCAATAGCAAAACGACAAGGAAATTTAAGTCTTCCATTGAACAGAGAATTGGTAGAGAAAGGTCAGTGACTAATGATCATAATTACTAACAGTTTCATTCAAGTTCTGTATCAGTCTTTAGGATGTTATTATGAAGTATACTTGTCTAATTAGCAAAGCATTGTACTTTTTTTGACTCAAATGGGCCCTTGATATAATACCTTTACGTATATTTAAACAATAAAAAGTTTAGAGCTGGACTTTATATTAGATTTTTGTGAACTATGAAATATAACCTCTGTGCCAAAACTCTTAACTACATACATATTCTGGGGGATAGGAAAATATAGAAAAATACAGATATGGCAAATGGGAAATGTTTACCTAAACTCCATGTGCCATTAATATCCTCTGAATGAAAAGGAGTTCACTGAGCTGTGAATGCTTATCTTCACATTCACTAAAATCTTCTCTTTAACTTTCTCCTTTCTATTCCTGCCTGGTTACTTCAGGGTTCCTTTGAGAGAACCAGCACTGTTGGGAAAGACTACTACTGATCAGGGAACTTGAAGGCCTGGGCTCTAATCCCAGACCAACCAGTCACTCACTGGAAATATGAGCAAGACTGTGGTTCCATTCTTCTACTTCTTGAACTATAAAAGGATGAAGTAGAGATAGATTGGTAATACCTAAGGGGGTTCTTCAAATTTATTCTTCAAGTTTTTCTGTTCTAAATATTTAAATTCTTAAATTGGAAAACACATTCCTTTGATTTGCTTATGAAATTAACTCACTAAAATCCCCTCTCCTGTACCAGAATCATTTTTGTACAGACCTCAAACTAAAGATTCTCTAGTTGTCTCTGTTTAATTGAAGAGTATCCTAAGTTTTCAAGATTATTAAAAAATCCAAACTTGTTCATAGTGCATCTCCTTATCTATGTAAGGGTGTTCAACATATACAACCAAAACCAAATACACAAAGTGGATATTGGCAAATGTAAGACTGCAGCTGGCATCCATAAACACAGACACTTGAATTTAAGAGTTATCAAAATAGTCTCACTCTTTTTGGTTGCCTTTTAAATAATTTAGCAATACACAATAAAGTATTTGAATAGTGCCAGTTCATTTATGTGTGTATTTTAGATTTCCACATAAGACTTACTTTACTGGGGGACATGGTTGGCCTTTAATAGTTTGAAAACAGGACTAAATCTCTGAAGTCCCTTTCAACTGTCTAAAACGGACTTTCTCCCTCTCTCAATTTGAGACCAAAACGATTATTTTGATCACAGCTTATGAGCTAGCATTAGCTTTAAATCTGTGTTAGAGTTAAATTAGGCATTTACAGTAGTTGATTCATTATATAATTTAACTTAAAGGGGCGCCTGGGTGGCTCAGTGGGTTAAACATCCGACTCTTGATTTCAGCTCAGGTCATTATCTCATAGTTCATGAGTTTGAGCCTTGCATTGGGCTTGTGCTGAGAGTGCAGAGCCTGCTTGGGATTTTGTCTCTGCCCCTCCCCTGCTCATGCTCACTCACTGTCTCTCAAAATAAAAAACTTCAAAAAATAATTTAACTTAAAACGTATATAAAACAACTGAAATTTATATCGGGTATGTAAATTAATTTAAGGGTATACATAAAATACAGTGATTTTTCCACTTTACTGAATGAATGTTATTCCTTTGAAGATTTGACTGTCCTCAGAAACAATAGTGAATGCCAGTAGTGCAGTCACTGTTACAGACATTTCTGGAACTACCTTCAGAGCTAGCATTTTTTTTTTTAAGTGATCTCTATGCCCAAAGTGGGGCTCGAACTCACGATCCTGAAATCAAGAGTTTACATGCTCTACCCACTGGACCCAGACAGACAGCTGTAGCTAGCACATTTTGAGTGTTTGTGTTCCCAGAGGAGCAAATTTTTGAGAGTAAATTAGATTTTTTTCAAGGAGCCAAATAATTTAAACAAAATTTTGGTAAATAAGGTGGATTGTCTGACAGTCTTATAATGTTTTAATGTGGTGTTCAACTATACGTTCTTTCAAGCCTGATTTCCTTGTACAATTGTTTTTGACCAATTTATGTTTTGCCTACCAACTGTCATGTGCCTCTTGGTTAGAAAGCAGGTCCCAAAGATTTCTAAAAATATCTTGTGTAATGAGAGTTTCATTAGAGAAAGCATATTACCTGTAATTTTTTGAGACTGCATTTTTAATCAAGAGAATTAACTTAATATTTATGGACACTTTGACGTGGTGTTTTGGAAGGGAATTTGGCAAGGGACTATGGCAACTCAGGTTCTGTTTTTGAATGCCCCAAGTTCCTCTACTTTTGTTTAATTACTGGTTTTGTAGCCCACTCCCCAGTATGTCTCCAGCTGATGTGTCAGGGGCTTTGGTGGCCTTATCTTGAAACCTAATCCTCATTTTATAAAGTTTTTTGTTCTTTTAATGGAATGTGTTGTGAGTTCCAAGAAAGTTTCTGCCAAACAGACCTTTGAAACAGAGTTGCATTTAAATTGGGGATAGCATAGCATCCATTTTTCATTTTGTACTTCTCAGAAGTGACTTTCTTTGAATGTGCTAATACTTTTTTTCCTTTATAGTAACAAATGAATATAACGAATCGCTGCTCTATAGTCCAGAAGAACCAAAAATACTTTTCAGTATTCGAGAACCAATAGCAAACAGAGTTTTCTCCAGCAGTCGTCAGCGCTGCTTCACGTCAAAGTAAGCTTCCAAAGGCCAGCCTGTGACTATGCTTCCATCTCTTGTAATTATAAATGGGTTTTGGTTTTAAAGTATTCAGTATGATGAAATTCACTCATTCACACTTAATCTAGTAGGAAAAGTAGGGCTTTTGGAACTAGTGAGGCGTCATGCTATATATACCCTGGAGGAAATATTTCCTTTCCCAGCTTGTGCCATTTTAGAGAAACTATAAGTAAATAGAAGGGGCATAATTATCTAACTGGGTGATATGGATTTGTTGTTTTCATATATTAAGACAGAATAAGATCAAATTATCACTTTAAAAGAAACTGGAAAGCAACTTTTTTTTATATGCTATTGGATTAAAAAAAAAAAAAAGCAGGACAAATATTCATATAAAACCTAACTTGTAAAGCCGTAAACTTTTAGAGTAGGACTCATTTCTTTCAGCTTTTTCCTAAAAGTGACCTCCCTCTTCCTCGCATTTACTGAATTTGATTTTTGTTTGAAGGGAAGATATCAAAAAACCTTATAATTTATTTTATAAAGGTTGCCCAATTTTCTAAACAAAACTATGAAAAAATGTCATTTGTCTCATGGCAAGCAAAGAACAGTTTAATTATGAATTGCTACTTATATAGTGTGCATATTTTCTTTTTTGAAATATGGTTGATATTTTTTCTAGGAAAAACAAATTCCTTTTACTCATTTGAAAGTTAATTTTGATCGACAAATCTATGTACTCAATGTAGGTGAAATTACAAAGACATTTAAATTTTGCTCATATAAACAGAATAAGCTTCATGACTTTGGCAGTTGGACAATATTTACAAAAGATGGAGAAATTGAACTATTCAGAATTAAGTACTTTTCTTAATGGAGACACCATTAAGGAAAAAAAAAAAAAGGGCAAGCCACAGAGTGATAAATATTCAACAATGGACTTCTATCCAGAATATTGTAAAGATTCCTACAACTCTATTAAGAAAAAGGCAACTCAGTAGAAAAATTGCCAAAGTCCTGGACAGGCCTTTCACAGAAGAGGGTATCCAAATGGCTCAGTGTATGAAAAACATCCTTGACCTTATTATTCATGTGGGGAATGCAAATTGAAACTATATAATATGATACCATACACACCCACCAGAATAGCTAAGGTGCTAGTTGTTGGTAAGGTGGGAGTAACTGCAACTTACATGCAGTATTTTTAGGACTAGTTTGGTATATTGTTTGGCAGTTACCTACCAAAGCTGAATAAAGCACACACAGTGACCCAGCAAATTCGCTCTTAGGTATATATCCAACAGAAATGTATACACACATACGTCTGCAACAAAAGACATGCTTAAGAATATTTGTAGTAGCACTACTTCCAGTAGTAAAAACCTAGATGTCTATGAATAGAAGAGGTACGTAACTTTTGGTATTTTCACACAATGGAAATGTTTTCATATAGCAATGAAAATGAACACAACACAATACTACTATATGTAATAACCATGGATGAATTTCACAAGCATACTTTTTTGTTTATTTTTGAGAGAGAGAGAGCATGAGCAGGGGAAGGACAGAAAGAGAGAGAGAGACACAGAATCTGAAACAGGCTCTGAGCTGTCAGCACAGAGCCCCACATGGGGCTCGAACTCATGAACCATGAGATCATGACCTGAGCCAAAGCTGGCCCTTAACTGACTGAGCCACCTGGGTGCGCCCACAAGCAAACTGTCAAGCAAAAGAAGCTAGACACAAAGCAAACCTATGTGTTCTTCCATTTATATAAAGTTTAAGAACAGAGCTATTACCACTATGGTGACTGAAATTAGGGTAGTGGGCATGCGTGGGAAGGATGGCCCAAGGGTAGAGACTGGAGGAGAGCAGTGAGGGAGCTCACTGCTCCCTCACTGGGGAGCTGGGGAACATTTGATTCCTCATTTGGGTGATGAAGGCTGCACAAGTGTGTTCACTGAGCTGTTCATTTGTGCCTCTTCATTTGTTCTTGTCAAAATTATCCATGAAAATAGTTACATACTCAATATTAGTACTTAAAATAGTAATAACTCAACATTTTGTCATATGAAAAAAGCCTGTGAGTTCCATCAAGTCTGAACTTGTTCTCTTGAAAATGTTTGGGTGAATGGAGCTATCCTGAATATCTTAATTTTGAGATTTTGATAACATACAGTTACTCTCTCAAACCAAAGAACAACTTGATTTTTAAAATCAAGGCCGAATGATCTGTCAGTTTCAATGAAAATTAAAGAAATCATAATTTTAAAGTTTTAAAGAAATCATAATTTAAAGTTAAGAAAACTTTATATTAATGAGATGTTTTTTCTGCTTAGGGTATGTGTTCGATCTCGTTGTTGGGATGCCTGCATGGTTGTGGATGGAGGTACTTCTTTTGAGTTTAATGATGGAGCAATTGCCTCGATGATGATCAATAAAGAAGATGAGCTTCGAACTGTGATTCTAGAGTAATGAAAAATTTCCTCAGATGACAAATTTTGATTACTGGGAAAATACGTTCACTGCGGAAACAGACTACCAATCATAAAGCTACATGTTTTGGTTATTGTTGAGACTGGTTGGCCCTGAGCTCCAAAGGTGACCAAGGAAGTGAGATTTGCATTATTCTTCTTTTGGATTTGGATAAAAAAGATGTTCACTGTGTTAGAGAATGGATGGACTAAACTGATCAGAATTTATACTTCTACATTGCTTATAGTTGGTATCAAAGAGTACTGATACATTTTTAAATTTAGAGAGGTAAGCTCAAATAAAGGATTAAATGTTTAAGATTTGAAATTTCACTGTACAAGGTTTTTTTTTTCCCTTTCCTAACTTTGTGGAATTGGTCAGACCAACATATATCATTTAATTAGGGTATATTTTTTATAGTACCTAAAAATCAAGATTTTTAAAAAATTTTGATGGAGAATTTTTGATAAATCCTGACATTGACCTAACTGAAGTAGGTAAATGTGTTTTTTATATGTGCTTAGAATTTTCTAATTTCAGAGGACAATACTGTTATGGCTCTATTGATTTAAGAAGTTCAAATCATTTTTGAAATTATCAATGTTTTCATTTAATTGATTTTCAGGTTAATTTTGACAGTTCTGGGTGAAATACATATATCTGGACAAAATCATGATACTGTTGCAAATGTATTAATTATCCAATAGCTATTTGAGGGAAGAGACTTTTTTAAATGGTTTTGAGTCTTAATAGATTCCTTCCATATTTAAAACTCTAACATGGAATCAGAGACTATAAGAATGAACTGATTAGACGTATTCTATTAGGAGTTTGGTAAAACCTTTTAAAAATATTTTCATCCAGTATTATGAGGTTTGTCAGAAAATGGATTCTTTAATAAATATGCAAAACACAATTAGTTGGAATTGCCTTGCTTTTAATATCATGGTAGTTTTCACTAGCTCATATTCCATGTTTTTACACATTAGCTTTGGGAGATAAAATGTTATGGCTTCTCTTGCCCTCCCTCTACTATGAGATTTCCTTTAGTTTGAGAGGAAATTATCTAATTATTGATCTACTTACAAGTAATCCTAGAATTTTCACAAAAAGCACCTATTGCTGTGTCATGAGACAACTGGTAATCTCATGCCATTTATTCAAAGTTGTATCTGTTTTTTTTCACTTGCTGCTAAAAAGTTCAACATTGAAATATTTATTCAACACATACCTTGTGCCATGTACTGTGTCAGATGCTGGATCTCAGTTGATCAATGAAAAAGACTGTCCTGATAGAACTTGAGACGAGTGGGCTCAAATTCTGTGAGAGCTAGGATATATAATCAAATTGAGTGCTATTACTTTTGCCAACATTTAATATGTTCTTGTCAAATTTTTAAATAAATGTTACTATACAAAGGTAATCTAGGTTTTGATGTATATCCAGAACAAGAATCTGTTTTTCTTTTCGAAGAGTATCTGCATAGACGTTCAAAGCAGTGTTTACATGATGTGTACAATGAAAATTAGTGTTTTCCCAGAGCTGGATCTAGTTTCTGGCTTGATTTAAAAATGTACTGAAGATAACACTTTATGAAGTGAAATTCCATACCATAAAAATTCCTCTAAGAAGTTTAAAATACCTTGACAAAAATGCCAACTCTATCCAAAATGGTACCATAGATCTGTTAATGTTACATATTAATAGGCAATCTGCTCTGTAAAATTGTTCATAAGCCATATTTTAAAGGTTTAAAAAATAGTTAATGTGCTGCATTTGCAGTATAACTAACATTTCTGCTAGGTGTTGGGGATTTATTTAAGAGATAAGAGGCAAAGGATATTGCAATAGAAGAAACGTGTTTATGAATGAGTTAACCTTTTAATGGCAACTATGTGAATAAACATAATTAAACTGGTATTATCTTTTTTTTTAAACTACATTTGCTTGCTTAACTCTTATAGCACCATTAATGGAAAATCAGATTCTCCCAAAATGGTATGTTTCAGGTCTTTTCCACCTGGAAAAGATACTTTCCAGGATACTGCTGATGTTGCACACAGAACTAGGACTTGTTATATAAGCAGAGGGTAAAGTACTTACTTTTTAAGTATAGACTCTGCAGATATTTTTCACTAGTTTTGATGTTCCACATGTATTTATATTTGTGGCCCCACTAAATCAAATCATATTGAATGTTTAGTAGCCTTCAGGTATAAAGAATTTCCATTCATTTCACTTTTTAAACATCAAAATAAACTATGTATAAATCATTAGAACCAGTTAACACAAAGTTATCAAAAAATATTCACTTGATGCACATGGAACACTCTCCAGAACAGATCACATATTAGGGTACAAAACAAGTCTTAATGAATTCAAAAAGACTTAAGTAATGCCATGCATCTTTTCATCTAGTTTCATAACAATGCTATAAAACTAGAAATCAACCACAAGAAAAAATCTGGCAAGACCATAAAGACATGGAGGTTAAATTACATGCTACTAAAAGCAAGAAATCAAAGAAGAAATATAAAGTTACATGGGGACAAATGAAAATCAACACACAACAGTCTAAAATCTTTGGGATGCAGAAAAAGTGGTTCTAAGGGAAGTTTATAGCAATACAGACCTATTCAAGAAGCAAGAAAAATCTCAATCTAACCTTATACCTAAGGAGCTAGAAAAAGAACAAAACTCAAAACCAGCAGAAGGAAAGAAATAATAAAAATCAGAGCAGAAATAAATGATATAGAAACTAAAAAAACAATAGAACACATCAATGAAATCAGGAGCTAGTTTTTTGAAAATATAAACAAAATTGATAACCTTCTAGCTAAACTCCTCAAAAAAGACAAAACCAAACAGCCAATACCATAGAAATACAATTAGAATACTATGAAAAGTTAGATGCCAACAAATTGGACAACCTAAAAGGATGCCTCTCTAAAAACATGTAACCTACCAAAACTGAAACAGGAATAGAAAATTTGAAGAGACTGATTACCACCAATGAAATTGGAATCAGTAATCAAAAAACTTGCAACAAACCAAAGTCCAGGACCAGATGGCTTCATAGGTGAACTCTACCAAACATTTAAAGAGTTAATACCTATTCTCCTCCAACTATTCCAAAAACCAGAAGAGAAAGAAAAACTTCTAAATTCATTCTGTGATACCAAAACTAGATAAAGGCACCACAAAAACAGAACTACAGGCCAGTATCTCGGATAAACATGGATACAAAAATCCTGAATAAAATAGCAAACTGAACCAAACACAATGCATTTAAAAAAATCATTCACCATGATCAAGCGGGATTTATACCCAGGGTGTAACAAGGGTGGGTCAATATTCACAATCTATCAACATATGATGCATCACGTCAATAAGAAAGGATAAAAACTATAGGGCAATTTCAGTAGATGCAGAAAAAGCATTAGACATAGTACAACATCCATTCATGATAAAAACTCTCAAGGCAGGTTTAAAGGGAACATACCTCAACATAATAAAGGCGACATATGAAAAAACAACAGCAACCCTCATACTCAATGGGAAAAAAACTGAAAGCATTTCTCCTAAGGTCAGTAAAAGATAAAGCTGTCCACCCTCACCACCTTTATTCAACATAATACTGGAAGTCCTAGCCACAGCCATCAGGCAAGAAAAAGAAAAGGCATCCAACTTGGCAAGGAAAAGGTAAAACTTTCACTATTTATAGATGACACGATACTATATATAAAAATCCCTAAAGACTCCCCCAAAAATACTAGAACTGATAAGTGAATTCAGTAAAGTCATAGGATAAAAAGTCAATATACAGAAATCTGTTGCATTTCTATACACTAATAATGAAGCAGCAGAAAGAGAAATTAAAACAATTCCATTTATAATTACACCAAAACTAATAAAACATCTAAGAATAAACTTAACCAAGGAGGTGAAAGACTTGTACTCTGAAAACTATAAAACACTAATGAAAGAAAGATGACACAAAGAAATGGAAAGACATTCTGTGCTCATGGATTGTACTGTTAACATGTCTATACTACCCAGGGGTACCTGGGTGTCTCGGTTAAGCGTCCGACTCTTGGTTTTGGCTCAGGTCATGATCTCACGGTTTGTGAGTTTGAGCCCTGCATTGGGCTCCGTGCTGCTGGTGTGGAGCCTGCTTGGTATTCTCTCTCTGCCCCTCCCCCACTTGCGCTGTCAAAATAAGCTTTTAAAAAAAATTTTTTTTTTCAACGTTTATTTATTTTTGGGACAGAGAGAGACAGAGCATGAACGGGGGAGGGGCAGAGAGAGAGGGAGACACAGAATCGCAAACAGGCTCCAGGCTCCGAGCCATCAGCCCAGAGCCCGACGCGGGGCTCGAACTCATGGACCGCGAGATCGTGACCTGGCTGAAGTCGGACGCTTAACTGACTGCGCCACCCAGGCGCCCCTAAACTTTTTTTTAAAAAGCCTATATTACCCATAGCAATCTGCAGATTTAATGCAATCCCTATACCAACAGCATTCTTAACAAACCAACAGGACAGAATCTAGATAAACAGTCCTAAAGTTTGTATGGAACCACAAAAGACCCCAGATAGCAAAGCTGTCTTGAAAAAAAGAAAACTGGAGGCATCACAATTCCAGACTTCAAGTTATACTACAAAGCTGTAGTAATCAAAACAGTATCATACTGGCACAAAAACAGACACATAGATCAATGGAAGTGAATAGAATACCCAGAAATAAACTCACAATTATATGGTCAATTAATCTTTCACAAAGGACATAGCTGGCCTACTGCTGGCAGGCACCATTTCTGCCACTACCTAGCTAACACTGCTTGCCTTGTCCTACTCCCTTACAGACCTGATCCATCTGAATAGTCTACTCTAGCAGGTGCCCCTCCGAAACAGCTCCCATCCTACCATACCCAGCAGGGGTGGCCTTGGTCCAGTGCTCCTCCCCAAAGCAGCTCCTACCCTTAGGAAGCAGCCTAGCCCATGAGTGCATCTATAGCAACTGCAGCTAAGTGCTGCAGCCAGCTGAGCTGGGGGATCAGCTCTATCCAGCAGCACGATCACAGCATTGTGCCCTGGCCAAAACAGGACAGCACATATCCCCCACATGTGATAACCTTGGAGTGCCCAGTTCTGGTGATAAGGGTGGAGTGCCCTTCTGAGTCCCACAGGACACATTCTACATAAGCCTGCTCCTTCAAGATTGGGAGACATAGCTGATCTACCTAATACAAAGAAACATAGATAGTCAAAATGAGACAGGAATATACTTCAAATGAAAGAGCAAGACAAAACCTCAGAAAAAGAAATGAAACAGAGATAAGGAATCTACTGATAAAGAGTTCAAAGTAATGGTCATAAAAGATACCAAACTTGGGAGAAAAATGGATGAATGCAGTGAGAACTTTAACAAATATATAGAAAATATAAAAAAAGAACCAATTGGGGCACGTGGGTGGCTCAGTTGGTTGAGCATCTGACTTTGGCTCAGGTCATGATCTCATGGTTTGTGAGGTCAAGCCCCACATCGGGCTCACTGCTGTCAGAGCAGAGCCTGCTTCAGATCCTCTGTCCCCCTCTATGCCCGTACCCCACTTGCACTCTCTCAAAAATAAAAATTAAAAAAATAAACAAAAACGAACCAATCAGCCGAAGAATACAACAATAAACAAAAACTACACTAGAGGGAATCAACAGCAGTTTAGATTATGCAGAAGTACTACCAGCATCTGGAAGACATGGTGGTGGAAATCACCAAAGCTGAACATAAAGAAAAAAAAATTTTAATGAAGATAATTTAACGGACCTCTTGGGCAACATCAAGTGCACTAATGCTCATTTCATAGGGGTCCCAGAGGAGAATTGGGGCGGGGGGGAAGGGGAGGGCAGAAAATTTATCGAAGAAACGATAACTAAAAACTTCCCAAACCTGGGGAAGGAAACACACATCCAGGTCCAGGATGCACAGAGAGCCCCAAACAAGATGAACCCAAAGAGGTCTACACCAAGACACAATAATTAAAATGTTAAAAAAACTAAAAGAGAGAATCTTAAAAACAGCAAGAGAAAATAACTAGTTATATCCCCCATAAGATTATAAGCTGACTTTTTAGCAGAAACTTTGCAGGCCAGAAGGGAATGGTACAATATATTACATGATGAAAGGGAAAAGAAAACCTAGGAACACCAACACTCTACCCGACCAGACTATTATTCAGAATTGGAGAGAGAAAGTTTTCCAGACAACAGTTAAAGGAATTCTTTTTTTTTTTTTCAAATGTTTATTTATTTTGAGAGAGAACGAGATAGCGCAAGCAGAGGAGGGGCAGAGAGAGAGGGAGAGACAGAATCCTAAGGAGGCTCTGTGTTGTCAGCACAGAGCCCAAAGTGGGCTCGAAATCACGGACTGTGAGATCATCTGAGCCAAAACCAAGAGTCAGATGCTTAACTAACTGAGCCACCCAGGCACCCCAAAGGAATTCTTCACCACTAAGCTAGCCTTAAAAGATATGTTAAAGGGCCTTACTTAAGTAGAAGAGAAAAGGCCATAACTAGAAGAAAATTATGAAAGAAAAACAAATCTCACTGGTAAAAGCAAACATAGAGTAAAGGTAGTGGATCAACCATTATAAAACTAGTAAGAAGGCAAAGTAGTAAAATCAACTACAGCTACAGTAATTAGGGATATGCAAAATAAAAAGATGTAAAATATGATGTCAAAAACAAAACGGCGGGGGGGGGGGAGTAAGAATGTGTTTTTAGAATTCTTTAGAATGTAAGCCACCATCAACTTAAGACAGACTGCTATATATATATATAGGTTGTTTTACATGAACCTCATTGTAACCACAAACCAAAAACCTCAAACAGATACACCATAAGTAAATAAAAAAATAATCCAAA